CTAGTGTCACTCGGTCCGCCTTGTCGCTGTCCTCTGACGCAGTAGCGAAGAAGCCAAGATTGATGAGCGTTTGAGTAGGGTCTGGGTCAGCCAGATCAAAGCGTGCAGCGACGCTCCCGATGGAGTATTCCTGGCTGATTGCTAGGTGAAAAGTTGCCTGTTTGAAATCAATCTTCAGGCCAAAGAGGCACTTGATCTTGCCCAGGTCTGTCATTTCGTATTCCATGCTCAGCACTCGCTTGATCACTTCCACTGTTTCCGCCCCGTTGTTGATGATAATGATGTCATACACATAGATGATGATGATGACAAAACGGTCCTTCTCAAATCCGACATAGAGGCTCAGGTCCGCCGCTGTAGGCTAATGCCGGACCTCATCTGTGAGGTTTGTGCCAAGGCATGTTGCGCATGACCTCCTTCCTTGACGCAGCTCCTAGAGAGCCTTCTTGAGCCTTCCAACCTTCCCCTGGGCAGCGGGACTGAGTTCCTGGAGGATGTACGGCATGAGTCGCATGTAGACCTCCTCCTCAAGATCCAAAATCAGATACACAGTCTTGACATCCATCTGGTGCTCCTAGTAGTCCTCCTTTGCCGCCTCCGTTAAGAGTGTCCTGATTGACGCTGACTTGGCAACGGATGCATACAACTTAGTCCAGTTGATGTTCCCACGCTGACTGTCACCACTAACTACCAGCCACACCTTGTGCCTGGGGACATATCCCTCCGCGCCTCAATTGAGTTCGTTAGAAAATTTGCTCCCGGCAGCTCCCTGCCCCAACGGAATATCGAAGAGCTCGAATACATCCTTCACCTTGAGCGATGCAATATCCACACTCTCCCAGTGCTTGCGATTGGGCCCAGCGGGGGCTTGCCGCTCCTTCACGTGCTCGGACTCCGGGCAGTAGACTACAGCTGTCCAGATCCTTTCTTCAACGATGTCGTCTGTCACTCGCGTTCTGTGCTTGCTCCTGGTGCATATCCACTCTGCTGGCAACCCCCCACGTCCTAGGCCGCAGGAAGTTCTGTCAGCTAGCACGTGGCACATCGTCTGGCCAGGTAGCCAACTTATCCTCAACGGACGCAGGTCTGGTCGGCAAAGGTGTGTGCTTGTGCCTCGTGATTTCCCTCCATGAGGTCTCCCTGCTCCTCCCAACCGGCTCGGCAACCCATCGATCTCTCTCTTTGGGCTCATCCCAGAAAGAGTGATCATTGGCGTCTGTAGGCTTGAGGCGGAGCACGCAGATCTTGTTGAGGCGCACACTCTGGCTGTTGAGCAGCCGTCTGAGCTCTGGCACCTACTCTTGATGAACCTTTATATTTCGTGGATACCGGATGAGGAAACTCTTGTACGTGAGGTTGTCAAACTTCTTGCCCCTTTCCGAAGGGTTATTTAAGCGCGGACATGTCACAGCGTACCACTCCTCTCTTGTGTTCGCTGAAGATCCAAGGGCTACCGTCAGGCTGAGGTCGGAATGTAGGGCGCAGTTGAGATGGCCTCTGCCCAGAAAGGCTTCTACATATCTGCCAACCTCAGCGTTGCAAGTGCCATCTCCCCGAGCAGCCAGAAGCCAAGCTCCTCAACCCCGTTTTGGAACAGCAGGTATGGCATCTTGAGCTGCTGGAAGACCCCTAGCTTATTCAACTCGGCCTCTGAATCTACTGATTGGAGCTCGCCAGTGTTGTCGATGGACCTTGTGTCCTGTCTGTAGCCCCGCCTCCTTCATATTGTCATACAGCTTCTTCTCCGCCATGAATGTAACTTTCATGATGGGACTGTGGTCATTGACAAAGACAATGTGGCACCTCGATCCTCCGTGGGATGGGACTTCTATCAGCCCAGCGTTGACATGGATGAGGCGAAGTAGAATGGTCTTGACTGCTCTCTCCATTGTCATCTCCTTGGGGATATCTTTCGCGCGATCATTTGCCATCACACACAGCACGCAGAGCATTGGTTCACCGCAGAGATCTTCCGCGTCAAGCCCCGCCATCATTGCCTTCAACACCACCTTCTTGAGCACATCAACGTTCAGGTTGCCATTTCTTCCGTGCCACAGCTCGATGGTAGGCATCATGGTTGTTTCCGCAGCCGTAGCCGAGTCCTTTGCTCCATGGTGGGCATCAACAATGAACAGGCCTCCGCGAAGTGTTGCTGTGACCCTGCACTTCCCTTGCATATCCAGGATTTTGCAGGAGTCTTCAGCAAACAGGCCACGAATTTGCTAATGTGTGATGGAGCAGACGGAGAGGAAGTTAATGTTCTGTCCAAGAAAGAGCAGCACGTCTGAGACGCCCACAGGGTCATGCTGTCCTTCACGCATCAGTACTTCAATCAAGGCAGAGCCCGAATTGAGGCTCACCGCTTTGTGCTGTCGCCAATCGTGATCGAACGGGGGCAATCGCGGGGTTTGTTATTTATTGTTGAGATGGCATGTATCATGAAACATGTTCACCGACGAGCCTGAGTCTGGGGCCCTTCATGGGTCACTGCCATGCGAGAAGCCCACGGTTTGCAAGAAATCCGCCCGCTCCCCCTTCGCTTCAGCATAGACAAGGGTGTAGTCGTCATCATCTACTGCGGGTGTCCCACATCCCCTCCTGTCCTTCTGTGCCCCCTAGATCGTGGCCGGAAGTTCCTGCCCCCTCTCTTTGTTCCTCTGGCGTGTTTTCCGCCGCCTGGCTGCCAGCGATCCGCCGCTCAGCGGCCCGGTTCGCCACAGTTGTTGCAGTTGCCCTTGGGCCTACTCCTGCCTTCTGTCAATGGTGGCGCGCCCCTCCTGCTGGTAGCAGCGAGGGCTGCAACTCTGTCCCCTATTGGGATTGTTCCTGGCGACAGGCAATCCTCTGCGAGGATCTTCTTTTGCAGCTTGTCAATGGTGAGCTCAGCCTCTGCTCCGTGACCAGTCCTGAAGACCCTCCAGGTCTCAGGGAGGCTCTACGGCAAGATCAAGATCTTGTCTTTGTCTGGCACCTTCTCCCTTGCCCCTGGAAGTTGCGGAAATCTTCCTGCCTTCCTTTTTGAACAAGCACAACTCGACTTTCACCTGATCGGTGTGCGCCCTAGTGCGCGAGGTGTGGATAATTCCCAAGATGTCCCAGGCCTCCTACGCCAACTGGGCATTCCGAACCACCTCTATCCGGCTCTTTTTGAGGGACAGAGAGATTATTGTGTGAGCCATCTTGTCCTTCTCCTCCCACGCCTCGATTCTTGACTCATTCACCCCCTTCCCCACTGTCGCCTCCGCCCTTTCTGTCCTTGAAGTTGGAAACAAAACCAGGCAAGGCGCCTCCCCTGTGACGATGCGCCAGAGCCTGTGGCCCTTCAACACCCGTTGAGATAGGTTCAGCTGCATGTGGTAGTGGGTTGACGTCAGCTTTTGGATGCTGTAACATCTGAATGAGGTTGGGGTGTTTTCGATTATGCTGAATGCTTTTGGTGTGGTTTTAACATCGTTTTCAAATGTTATCTGTTCGCCCGGGGCTCATAACCTGTTGGTAGGTGTAACTGCTGGGACAGTGGACTTCAGCACATAGACACTATGTGTATTGTTCAGCTCCTTCAACCTCCTTTACAGGGTCATCACAGACTCTCATTCCAAATACCTGGGAGGGTTCACTTCAGCACAAAGACGCTGAATTCCAACCCTGTCCTGCGCCCGCCACTATGAACATGGAGAGCAGAACGTGTCAGGAATAATTTCTGGTCCAATCTCAACAGCGCCGACCCCAGCTCCTGCACAAGCTTGATATCACTTCTTCCCTTGAGGCAGCGGATGGCCCAATTGACTAGTCTGATGGGGGCAGGAGTGGGGATCGCTATGAAGTGCGAAGCAACATCTACAGTGTATGTGAAATCAGGCCTTTTGTGGATCATCGCGTCCATTATGATCCCCACTATCGACAGACACTGCTTGGTGGCTACCAGGCCCATCTAATAGCCTACCTCAGCTGCCATTGCACCGAGCCAAGCGCAATGAGAGGCTGGTCCAGGTTCGTCTCAGGCCAATCCATGCGACAAAGATCTAGATATAGGTCAGCTGGGTAATCTTCAGACAGCACACCAAGACGTCCCTCTCAATCATCAACCCACCAAGGTATGCAATCTCGCCAAGGTGTGGCGTTTGGAATCACACTGACAGAGCCTCCTTGTTGGCGTTGACGTTTTTCATGCTGTCAGTATTGATCACAACGTCGTCATCATGGACGAATGTGACCTTGTAAAAATCACAAAGACTATCGGATCCAGGCTTGTGCTCAAATTTAATGTTGTTCACGTGGAAATAGCTGAGACAGATCGTCAGGGCCTTCCCACCTTTGCAGAGTCCGTAGACCGCCATGCTCTTCGCCATTGTTCCCCAAGCAAAAGGGCCCAATACCTTGATTGCGTGAACAGAGAGCTCCATGTAGTTCTCCTCACACAGATCTGTGTTAACATATGCCTTGTGTACATCGATCTGATGTGCCTCGTAGTTCTCCTTCACAAGGCAAGGAGGGTACTAATCGATGAGAAATAAGCAATCGCCACATACCTCTCTGCAAATGCATGCCTTAATGTTGGCTGTATCCCTTGGCTACCATCCACGCCTTATGCCCAGTGACTTGCCATTTGGGTCCTGTATTGGTCCTGTACACCTCTTTGCTGCCGAGAGCCTTCTTCCCCTCAGGGAGCGTAGCCAAGGGAAAGATGACTTTCTGAAGCATTGATCCGATCTGTGGCTCCACGGCGCCCTCCCATTGAAGGGAGGTGGGTGCACTAGTGCCTGCTTCTCTGTGAGCGGCTTGGAGTCAACTACGTGGGCCACCGCATCCCACAGCATCAACGGCATTGCTTCAACTGATTGAATGGCGGGCTTGTCCATCTCGCCGTACTCGTCTGCTGCCAAGCCTCAGATGGCTTGCAACCAAGCCATCTGGAGTGTTGGAAACCGCCAACTAATGAGGTGCTGATCCTCCTTCAGATCATCAAAGTATACTTACATTTGGGTATTTGGCCACTTAAATAGATTGACCGGGATTCGAACCCGGGATCTTCGGATTGTTGGTACAGATACTCTCCCAATGAGCGGTAAGTCCAAGGACATGGTTGCTTTGCTTCCATATCAGGCTCCCCCCAACCCCAACACCCTTCTGGCGTGTTTAAGTGTGGCAGAAATTATTCCTTGGACAGCTGTCATCCATAAGCTCCAACACTGCCCCTCCATGAGAGAACCCTCAACATGTCACTGGTGATGCTACAATGTTGGAAACTGCCATTTTACAATGTGCCGATCCTCTTTCAGATCGTCAAAGCATTCTTTATTTTGGGTAGTTGGCCAATACAATAGATTGACCAAGATTCCAACCCATGACCCTCTGATTGCTGGTGCAGATCCTCTTCCACTAAGCTAGCAATCCAAGGACATGGTTGGTCCGCCTCCATCTTAGGCTCCCCCTGACCTCAACACCCTTCCTGTGTGTCTCAGCGCCGCAGAGACTATTCCTTGGACAGTTACCCTCTGTTAGCTTCAACATGGTGTGCTGGAGCACACTTGGATTGTCCTGATAAAGGTTTGACCACGAGCTCCTAATCGGAATCGGAGAAGTCACAGGTAGTGTCATTGGACTGCACATGTGAGTGCGTCCTTGCAGCGGTAGGTATGAGGATGCTCTCTTCGGGATCGTTGCGGCAGGGGTTTGACAGCTCTTGCTAGTCGCTGCTCTGGTGGCACAGCTACTGGTGCTGCAACTGTTTGACATAAACTTTTTGCCAGGAACATCCCAAAATAGGAAACTACCCTAAGGGGAGGGGCAGGCTTTGTGCGTTCCTTGCTCAATGAAGCGTGATCTTGGGCGGAGGATCACCTTCTTCTTCTTACAGATCCAGAGGCAATAACCCTTTGTAGTGTCGCTATATCACACAAGCAAGCCCTTCTGTGTGTGATCACTCACTCCTGGTCCTTCTCGCTGGGGATGAGGGTAAATGTGTTGCAGCCAAAGACTCCGATGTGCTTGACAGAAGGCTGCTTCCCCAACCAGAGCTCCTCAGGAGTCTTGGTGCCGTAGCCAAGAGTGGCGGTCTGATATTTGATTCAGAGGTAGACAACTACAGACGCAGATTCTGCCTGGAAGCATATGGCGAGGCCCCGTCTGAGCAAAGTGTGAGCCATCTCAATGACACTTTGAATGTTCTGCTGAATCACCATTCTCGAATATGTTTTCGGAACTGTGAGATGATAAACAATTGCCCTCTTCTTCAGAATGTCCTTACTCTCGCCACCGGTGAACTCGCTAGCATCGACGTAGCTGATAATTGTACTTTTCGGCTCTGTCAGTGTATTAGCCTTCTGAATATAGTCTTCAACGGCAGGCGCCGCTTGACTCTTCTTCATGAGGAACTTCACATCAAGTTGTGTAGCGTCCTCGTCCTCCAAGAGGAAGAAGTAACTACATCCTGCATGTTAAGGTACCTCCATAGGCCGTGTGATGTTGATGTGGACCGTCCTCAGAGGCCCTGTTATGGCTGTGCCCGCTGAGGTCCTCTCCCTTGGGATATTCATTGGCCATTAGTTCGCCATCATGCACAGCTCACAAAGGCTAAATCCTCGGCCAAACACTGCCGTGACAATCCAATGGACTGTGCCCTTTGAAGCCAACTTACCGAGCGTATCAAGGTTGATGTGGCCCTTCCAATTGTTGGTGGCATAGACTGTCCGTGGGGTGGGTTGCACATCTGTGGCCATCCCCGAGGGAGCCAAGATGTCTCAGATGTCAAGCGCATTGAGAATGCCCTTCTGATGCTCGCTGCCTATTCTCCTTGTCAAGGACTGTGCATATCTCAACCTCAAATAGGACCATGATATTCTTCCGTGTTAGGGCCCCAACAGTCACAAAGTTCCTACAAAGCCCAGAGACATAAAGGACATTAGTTACCAGGACGACCTTAATGCTCGTATTGTGTTGTTCTAATTTTTTATGGGCAGTGCCCCTCCATGTTGCTTGGAGTCGCAATCCATCTCCGATGATCTTGAGGTGGTCAGTTTGAGGGGTGATGTAAGTGAGGTTGTTTTTGTTACCAAATGTATGCTCTAATGTGCCAAAATCAATTGCCCAAGGCTTGCTGGGCCCTGTCAACCCCACGACGGGCCCCGAGTTGCAATCTCCATTGGGTTAGACCAAGATCAACTTGTTGTTGTCAACATTGGCCCTGGCCGCCAGCTCCCCTACCTCAACTGCCCATCATCCCCTAGATCCCCTCATGTGCACCGCTTTGCTACAGCATTGGTACTTCCAGATTCCCGAATCCCCCATTTGTTGCAGTTACCGTTCTTTTCTCTGCTGTTTCCAGCATGGTTGTGGCTCCCATACCCTCCTTCTTCGCCTGACAAGTTTGACCTGGTTTGCGTGCTTGTAGCAGCGAGTAGGACTTTGTTTGCCTTTGAGGCATTAGTCATTGTTAGCGTATCCTTGTGGGAGTATCTTTGGACCCAGCTCCGACACTGTCAGGTTGTCGTTCTGCTCATGAAATTCGAAGCATCTGAATGTGTTCATTAGGAGTTGAGCACAATCCAGGCTGTATCGTCTTCAGGAATCTGCGCTCCTGCACCTGGGAGCTGGTCTACATGCTCCTTGAAGCAGCTCAGATGTTCCTGCACTGTCTTGCCCTTCCTGTGCTGTGTTTAGAAGTTGGCTTTCAGGCGATTGGTTTGCGTCTTCGTCTTGCGGCATGCACCTCCTCCTCGGCATCCAGGCTTTTTTTGCCGTCTTTGCACTCCAATTCAACTCTTTGTCCCTGCTTGATGGCGACTGAGAGATAGATTCATGTGACTACCTTTCCTTTGCCTCTCCCCACATTCTTGTCATCCCTACTCTCTCTTGCCTCCTTTGCCCCGGGGTCCTGGTCAGGAGCAACTGTCATGGGCGCAGGGCATGGTTTAGCCCCGGTGAGAATATTTCAGAGCATCTGGGCTCGGAGGGAGAAGGACACGAAGTTCTACTAGATGTGGTAGTTTAACCCGGTATGTCTTTGTCCTTCACACTCCTTCACAAGGTCAACACAGTCGATCTCCATTTCTTTGGGACAGTGGACTTCAGCGACAAGGGTGAAGTGCCACTGCACCCACTCTTCCGCCCGGCTATCCCCTCAGAAGCATGCTCAGAGTACATGCTGCTTGACACCACGAGAGTGTGCCAGCCCACGCTCAGTCCAATTTCAGGCGCAATTATCTGAGTCCTTCCGTGTGCCCTGACGGACCTTCAAAACGCAATCAACACTGTTTTATGCCCTAATCAATCCCGGATGGCTCGGCACCCAATCACCAAGCACCAAACATTTGCGACTCCCAAATCCTGACCTCCTTCGACCAACTTTAATGAAATTCCCTACTTCGATGGCTACGCAGAGATCGTGCACCCTCTCTCAAAATTGCAGTCCGGCAAGAAGCTATCGGCACTGACGCACCGCAGCGAGAAGTGCTCGAGCACCGCAAGAGAGCAATATTAACTGTGCCAGTGTTTGCCCGCTTTCTCCCCAGCGAAATGACGTGTCGGATTTCACCGTCCGGGGATGTCTTGCTCAAGCAGCCACTGATGACAATGCCCTCCTGTCTCCACTTGCTCACACCATCGAGGGCCTCACCGACCTTCACCACCTTTCTACGATGTCCTACTTCACATGCAAAATGAAGCCTACTGAAATCAACTACCCTGACTACCAGCAGGAATCCTTGCGCTGGTCAAGCTCATTAAGGCAAACAGCAACCAGCTAATGGGAGCACCCTTCTGCGCGTTCGCCGACCACAGATCCTTGATCTACCTGCAAAAGGAATCCAATGTGAATATTCAACAGGCTAGGTGAATGGGAAGTTTCAGGAGTTTGACTTTACATTTGAACATCTCCCGGAATCATAGACTACTTTTGCTGAGATCCTCTGATATCCAGGCTGCCAAGAGCACGTCCTTGTTGAATCCCTCAACATCACCGACAGAACTGTCACACTAATTACAAAATTAGCTGGACACCTACCAGCTCCCCCAGAGCTAAGGAGTGGCTCAACTACATCCTAAAGGATGGCCACCCCCTCAACATAAAGGCCTGCCTGGACAACCTCTTCCCTGCTGCCCCTACCCCCTCTTGCCATGTAAAAAACTACTTCAAAAACTACAGCTTTCTCTACTACTGTAGAGGCCTTTACGTCCCAGAGGTCATCTGCGGATCGAGCATGGAGCGCTACCACAATAGGTTCATCGTAGGCAGAAGTCAGGGTGTTGCCGAAACCACCAAGAAGATCATCATCGACTACTACTGGCCATGCATGTTCCTCACCAGCTGTCTGAATTGCCAGAAATTCAAGGACCCTAAGCGGTAGGGTAATCGGCACCCTGTTGCTGTTCTGTCCAGGTGTTGGGAGATGGTTGGCTTTGACGAGTTTGCAGTGCCAAAGTCCCTGGGGCAGCAGGCCAAGGAATAAAATGTGTGCTTCTACTTTGTTGCCGGCCCTCAAGAAATGGAGAGCCCAGACCCTTGCAGAACCGTTCGTCTCTGAAATCTACGCCGAGTTTGGATGCCCCACTGCATTTGTCACCAATCACAACGGCAAGGTCACGTCTGACTCCCGTCAAGACTTCACCGCCCTCCCAGGGATGCCACCCTTTATCTGCACTGCTTGCCACCACCAAACACACGGCAAGTGCCTGCGCAACATCAAGACCTTGACGAAGATGCTGCGCTTGTACATCAAACGCACCCAAGGCAGGCAGTCACGCCTCCTCTCGTTCGTTGAGTTCAACATCAACGCAACTAGCACAGGCCCTGTACACCTGCCATGCTTCCTTAGGGAATGTGGCTATGTCTCGAGCTCCTTCAAGTACACGACCCCTGAGGACTCGGTAACAGCGGATATGGTCCCTGATCCCGGCAAGACAAGAGCAGGCAAAAATTCGCAAGATCCTCAGAAAAGCCATCAGCGAAGCACAAGATGAGGATGGGAAGTACTTCAACTGTGGCCACATAGGAGCTGTGTTCAAGGCGGGTGACCAGACGACTTGAATACTGCCTGCATCCAACTCCTGATTAGGTCGACCCTGCCCCTGAAGATTGTTACATGCTGGATCGACCCCTCGTTCTCCTGAGCCCTCGACCTACTCCGGACACCTACAAACTTGACACCTCCACCAGCGACATCAGCAAAATCAAGCGTCGTTCCACCTGAACCTCCCTCAGCTGTTATACCCGGCTGACCGCGGCATCCGCCTCAACACCCCACATGTCCCGCGCCTCCTGCCACCTGCCATCTACAGAGGCAAGGCAAAATACAAAGTCGAGCACATCAAAGGGGCCAGGAGCACCTGCAAGTAGCTCAAGGACAGCTCCTTCAAGGGCGAGTTCCTCGTCAAATGCACCAGCTACGCGGACTCGG